GGCCCGTCCTCGCTGTCCGAGGAATCTGCTGGCAACTCCTGCTCCATGTCCATCAATGCCTGGTAGACATGGTTAACGATGCGCTGCAGAATAGCGCGATCCTCGCTGCTCAAGGTTTCGATGGGTTTGGCTTGTCTTCCTCTCTTTCGCTTGGGCTGAGGCGTTTCTTCCACAACCTCCTCTGCCTTGCGCTTGGGAGCAGGTCCGCGGCGACGTTTCTTTGGTTGAGGGGCTTCCGAGCTCTCCCGCGACGGTTCCGGTGAGGATTCAGCACCTGCCTTCCGACTGCGCTTCTCCTTGTTGATACGACGGCGCTCAACTCTGGCCTCCTTTCTGGCGATCGCATCTTCGATGGTATCGTCATCGGCATCCACAGCCATAAGCCATTGTTCTTCCGTGAGACCATCGTCGTAGCGGGTCACCTTGCGTTCACGTGCACCACGGCCACCCAGATCAACCTCAACTTCTTCGGTGACCGGGTTTTCTTCAGTGAGATAGATATCCGGCAGTTCTTCTTCGCACATGAGGCGAGGGTATTTGTGGCCAGGACCGTATGGGGTATTCTTTTGTCGCTCCTTGTCAATACGCTGGAACGTGATCAGTTCTTCGTCCGATCGTGCCATGATATCGTTGAGGTCATCGTCATCCATCTCCTCCTGGTCACCGATTTGATCAGCGGCCTCCGCCGTCTCCAGCAGTGTCCGCAAGAGTGCGTCACGTTCTTCGTTGGTTGACTTGTTATCGAACTTTCCTGCCTGAATGACTTTGCCGTCCATATCAAGCTTGAACTGTGCACGTTCTAGGATTTTTTCTTCAACTGAGTTGGAGCTGATGAGACGCAGAATACGAACTTCGTTCTTCTGACCAATACGGTGAGCTCGATCCTGTGCCTGCAGATCCTGATGGGGATTCCAATCGGAATCGAAGATGATGACGGTGTCAGCGGTCTGGAGATTAAGACCAAGACCACCCGCACGTGTTGACAACAAGAAGCAGAAGTACTCGGAGCCTTCGGCGTTGAACTTCTTCAGAAGATCCGACCGATCATCGGACTTGGTAGAACCATCGAGACGGAGATATTTCAGGCCACGAAGGCGCAAGAAATCCTCCATAATGTTCATGATCTGAGTCATCTGGAAAAACATCAAGACACGGTGACCAGTGGCACGGAACTTGGGCAAGATTCTGTCCAGTAGTTCGAATTTACCGGCCGTACGCCAGAGTAGATCGTTGGTTCCGCGTCCAGGGTTCATCTGATCTTCAACAGGCTCGAAAACAAATGGATGGTTACAAAGCTTTCTCAGCTGCATCAACATGTTACTGAGACCACGCATACCGGTCTTACCACCCTTGCCATCACTGACGGCCATTTTGTTGTGAGTGACAAGCTGCCTATAAAGCTTGGCTTGCAGAGCAGAGAACCGACACTTGATGACTCTTTCTTGCTTATCGGGCAGATCCTTCTCGACATCCTTCTTCAGACGTCGGAGCAGGAAAGGTCGAAGAACCTTGTGCAAACGACGAATAACGAGCAACTGTTCTTCTTCGCTGAGTTCCATGCGATCTTGTCCACCCGTGTTAGCGAACGGTGTGTTGAACCACTCGTCAAAGGATTTCACAGATTTGAAGATGTTCGGCAAGACGAAGTTGAGTAGAGCCCACAGTTCTGGGAGATTGTTTTGCAAGGGAGTACCGGTCAGAATCAGACGATAACGGCTAGTATAGTACTGCGACAAAGTACTGCTCAACTTCGACTGCGTATTCTTCATACGATGACCTTCATCGACAATCATGTGAGTCCACTTGATCTTGCTCAAAATTGGGCGATCCTTGATGATGTATTCGTAGGTGGTCAGAAGGACCTGGAAATTGCCCCAGCGGATCTGATTTTGCTGCTGTTTGCGCGCATTGGGGGGGCCCTTGTAGACAACCCTCGAGACCGAAGGTGCCCATTTCTCGAATTCCAGGTTCCAATTGGTGAGGGTACTGAGAGGAACAATGACGAGGAAAGGCCCATTGTTCTTCTTTCTCTCAATGATGTAGGTGATCAAACTGATGGTCTGAATGGTTTTTCCAAGACCCATCTCATCTGCCAGGATACCATTGAGGTTGTTGTTGTAAAGTGAGATCATCCACTGCAGACCCTTCATCTGATACTCTTTCAAAGTACCGCCAACAAGGATGCTTGGCTGGACAGTGACTTCTTCTTTGATACGATGAGCAACAGCATAGTAGTCAATTTTCTTTCTGCCATCGCCCTCGTCTTCACTTCCAGAAGCAATCTCTTCCTCCTCTTCCTCCTCCTCGAAGAACTGATCTTCTTCACCATAACGCTCAGCAAGACTGCGCTGTTGCTCCCGCACGGAGGCAGCAAGCTGCTTGAGGAAGTTGTCGGTCTGTTTCAACAGGTGAGAGATACGAGAATCCTTGGCTTGTCCGAGCAGTTTCAAGTAAGTCTCCTCATCGTTAGCCTTCAAGGCTTGGAGACGTTGCTTGGCAGTACGCTCGACACGTCTCTGCTCCTCACGCTCCATATGTTGATGGTGTTGAAGCATCATCCGACCCAACTTCTGCGCACGGGTGCGCTGCTGAGCAGCAGCATTTTGCAGTTCCGCGCCGTGGTTGAGGATGGCCTGGAGATGATCGTATTGTTTACGCTTTTCTCTGGTTTCGCGCGCATCGCGTTGTTGCTTTTCCAGCTTCTCTGTAATGCGGGCTTCACGCAAGTTCTGCTTCTTCATCCGGCGATGGCTAGAGCGGTTCGCCGTCATACCCAGATTATCAAAGTGAAACATTTCGTGCTGCATCTGCTTGCGAAGAAGCTTCTGTTTAGGCAACAAGCTGAGCATCTTATACTCAATCAAAGCTTTCAGCTTCAGGGAATCGTCGCCCGTGGCAGTGTCACTCTGGCTAGAATCCCAGACACCGAGATTGGCCGGAAGCTCAGCCAGCTCAGCCTTCCGCGCGTTGATCCTGTTGTAAAGTGCAAGCTCCCTCTCTTCGCGCACTTGGTCCATGTCAATGCCAGCGGGCATCAAAGCAGGAACGCGCATGCGATTAGCACGAGAGGTATGATCCGTGAAGCCGATGGTCTTGGGTATCAGATCATAGGGTGACTGGAAGGTTTGATAGAAGTCCTTGGTTTGATCCTCCTCTTCCATATTCATAGAGGACTCAGCCTTCCCTTGGGCAGCGCTTTCCAAAACGTTCTCAGCACTCGCGATGGCATCTGCAGGGGCCGGAGCCTGCGCCTTTTTGGGAGGGAAGAGTTGTTGTTGAACTCGAGCTGGGATCGGGAGGTTCTTGGAGAGCATCTTGAAGGCCAAAATCTGGTTCCGAAGCGTCGCCAATTGCTCGGCAGAAAAGCTACTGCTGGCAACAGACATACCCTTTTGAGAGGGAATCTGGCCTGAAGCCTGCTGGGCAGCGGGTGTAGCCGAGGATCCATCCGATGCCACGTTGACAGGGGTTGCGGCGGGATTACTGCGGCCTGTGGATACTAGCGTTAGCGAAGAGGCTACCTAATGATTACCTGCAGGCGCAGGTCAAGATGGAAGCCGTACCATTGACACCATTTGCGGCGGCGGCGGTCTCTGGAGTCACGCCATTGAGCTGCTGCTGGCGTTGTTGCGCCTGAAGCTGCTGTTGGGCGAACCTCTGCTTCTGAAATACTTGTTGCCGCTGGACTGCTGAAAGCAAGTTATGGGCTTTGAGGTATTCGGGATCGTCATGGCGCACGCCTTGTTCTTGCATCTGCTTGTATTTCTTCAAGGGGGATTAGATTTATGCCATGGAGAAGTTGAGACGAAGAAAGGAAGGGTGTGGTATGGTGGTATAAGGAAGAAGAGAGTGAAAGGCGGGTCAAGGCGGACGCACCTGCAGGACTTCTTGAATGTGTTGCTGCGTCAAGTTCGGCGGCAAGCTCATGTTTCCAGCCGCCATGTTGGGTGCTGACTGGAGAGAGGCCATGCTCTAGCGCGTGGTTGTTTTATTCATAAGCAACGCAGGAGACACGAGGGAGGCCTGGGTTGCGACAGGGCACAGTGGAGCGCTTAGGAAAACACGTGGGAATTGAGAGCGGCGACGGTAAATGAGGGATCGCGCGAGGGGAGCGATGGGGGGCGCTCAATTACGAAAGTGAATGGATAGGAATGCCTCTTTGTGGATGGATGCGACAGGTAGCGGCCTGTATCTGGACTTTGGCGACAAGTTTCGTGATGTTTAGGCCGGACCGGGGGAGATACAGGGCGGTAGGCGACAAACAGGAGAATCAGTAAGTAGAGAGAAAGGGGCGTCTAACGCGAAGAAGAAAGTGTAAAAATGACCCCAAAGGGGGGGCCGGGGGTGAGAATGGCGCGTGGAAGGCCAGTCTGGATGAAATGGAGATGGAGGGGACGGGGCTTTCGCGACTTTCCGTGCTGGTCGGGGAAACTGGCGGTGCTCTCAGCCTGTGCCTGTAACGAGGAGAGGGTAGGCGGCGAGACGTTGGAAGAAGATTTCGTGCCGTGTCACGTGATACTGGGGATGGGGGATGCCGCTGCTGGTTGCTGGTTGCTGGTTGCTGGTTGCTGACTCAGCGTCCGACTTTCGCGCGGCGGACTTGCCCGGGTGAACTTGCCCGGGGGCCGGCTTAGGACTAGCGGGGAAGCTCTCCACAACCTCGGCCGATATGATGATTACAGCAACAAGTCAATTCAGTCAAGATCTCAAGCATTGAATTAATTTCCCCAACCATCAAACTAGTCCCATACCGCAATAGCGAACATGCAATCCCTTCACTGTACAGTATAATTCAGAACCCCAGTGCTCACACACTGTCGCATCACCTTTTACCAAGATACACCACGAAGGAGAAGACTGCTTTTCTCACTAAGTCTCCACCCACTATCTTAAATACCACCTGCCAGCAGGCTGTAGATCAGACTCAAATGGAATTGCAGCAACGTAGATTTGCCAGCAACTCACACCTGACTACCATATGCGTCAGAAACGTCCACACCCTACGCGTCACCTCCAATTGGGATCACCCTCTTCATAGGGGGTGGGGGAGGGGCGGGCTTCTTAGCGCGAGGGGGCGGGGGTGGGGGGGCCTTCTTGTGCAATGATGCGCTGTTGAGGGTGTTCGAGCTGGATCTTCTCGTAACTACGCTGCCATAGGATGGCCCCGGCGATTCGTTGCGTCCCATATAAGATCGATCTGGGCTAGTGCCGCTGCGTGGACTGCCATCCTCAGACGGATCCATGTACGGATCAGCATATCCTCTACCGGCAGGGCGCGTTTGACTGCTGTTTCGGCGGCCAATGTAGTTCTCACTGGCTGACCGAGACGGCCACTGATACGGGCTGGAGGTGGAATCCTGGCGCAATTGCGTAGGGCCCTCAAACGTTGAGGTCCTGCTCAGTACGGGCCGGCTCGAGTAAGCATCAGGCGGATAGACCTCTCTACCCGTCGGTTCAATCGAAGTGGCCCGGGAGGAGCGAATAATCGGCCGAACATCCACCCCATTGTGATCCTCCTCGTGCAACGGCTCGTAGCGATCGGCGAAAGAGTGTGCGGTGTTGGAGCGGGGACGGCCTGGGCGACGGCCATTAGGAGTCTGGGAAAGAGGTTGTCTGCCGGCTTGTTAGTTATTTAAACGCTTGGGAAAGAAGCATGGGCGGGGGCAGCTCACCTGCCAGGCCACTCGCTCTTGAGCTGGAGTAGCACCTCCTGGCATTTTGCGTGGTAGCTCAGTTGAGCATCCAAAAACGCCTCCAGATTGATTACGCCCTCGGCTTCCGAGTCCTTAATGTCCTGCATTCTTCGGCAAACGTCATCGTTGGCCTCTTCGTATTTGACCTTCTGAGTCCGCAACTCCTCCTCCACACGGAAGTCTTCCCTCTTCGCTTTCTCCATTTTGGAAAGCGATGTATCGTATGCCAGACGGCGACCATCGAGCTTTTTGCGGGCAGTCTACGCTCCTCGTCAGTACTCCTGCAACAAAATATTTGGGAATAATGGGTCTGGCTACCTGGTAGTCTTTCAATTGGGTTAAAGAGTGTTCGAGCGACTCGAGCAGCCCTGCATTCACCTGGGAAATGTAGGCATCCTGGAGGCGAGCCAAGCGCTCCTCCGCTCTACCAAGCACTACACAGAAAACCGTATGAGCATACAACTTCACCCCACAGCATAAGGGGGGAATGACATACTGATCATGGAACGTCCATACTCAGAGTTTGCATCAAAGTCTTCACCGTGGCCAACCATGCTGCTACCCAAATGGGCGATAGGCAGCGTCTTCTCCTTATCATCGCCTTCGCTGCGCTTCGAAATGGACTTAATATAAGCAGCAGTTGCCTTGTGGATGCGGTCGACACCTTATTCAGGAACGGGAAATTAGCAGAGTCAAAATCAGTGAACCGTGGGAGCAACCTACCATCGTGGCGCACGTTCATCTCCGTTTCCAAGGCTTTGAAGTCATCTGACAAATTGGTCTTAACTTCACCCCCCATTCTCTCGCCAGCCCATTGCTTGAAACGATCGAACTTCCGGTTGACGTTCATCTTGGTAAATTGCGGTGGTAGATATAGTAAACCAGGGGAACAAACGTGGCGAATAGAAGGGATGTGTCCAGCGATCGAGGGTGGTTGATGGTAGTTCGCACGATCGAGTCAAGCCAATTCAGTGATAACGAAAAGAGTAGGTATCCAGTAAGAGCGAGATCGGATGAATCAGGTGTAAATAGAGACTCGCAGTGCTCAAGCAAGGCACGGCTTGGGCATCGACAAGAAGTGAAAACAAGAAAAGCGCCACGGCCAGGAGGCGAATATGTGAAGAAATTTGGAGTAGTTCGGGTATAGCAGGGGAAGGGCAAAACAATTAAAATGCGCTTTGTTTGCGACAAGCGGGGGAAGGGGGAAAGGAAGAAGAGGAACTTGAAGCGGAGGAAGAGAAGAGAAAGAGGCAGAGGAAGTGAAGGTGGGAAGGTTGGAAAGGGGAAATTTCCTTGACCTTCAAGGTCGGGGTCAATGAATTATTTTTAATAAAAGAGAGTGCTAAGTTAGTACATACTAGACTTGAACTAATTGACTGGATTTGACTTGACAGTGTGTTTGTCCATTGCGGAATGACAGACAGCAACAGCAACTCTTCCTTTTCCCCCCCCATGCCAATCGCAAGCGGCCGATGTACTGCAGGTGAGGTACTGCACTCTCCGTAATGGCTCGGGAGTACTGGAGGTAAGTTAGTTACAGTACGGAGACTGTACTCAGTAGGACCGAAAGGCGCCACATTGCCTCTTGGTTTCCTAGCCAATTCAAATCACCCCCACCAACACTGAGTGAATCTGATGGACAAACGTCCCCTGTGAGAAGAGGGGTGTGAGGGGGGAGGGGGGCCAGAATGTCGAGTTCCAAGATCATACTACAGTGGCTCCGTCATACTCGTACTCAAAAAACCATAGTTGACCATATCTGACAGCAAATGAGTCAATTCGTCTAAGTTACTCCGTAAATGGTTCCTCTCCGATCTTTCCTTTATGGTCATATCTCCTGAGCCCTGAAAAGTGCAGTTTGATGTACGAATTGATCAAGGAATGGAGCTGGTGGAGGCGGGGCCAGAACGCCAGGCGTTTGTTTGAGGTGTAGCTGAAACACAGGAGCATCACTAGTACAGTTCTTTACTACTCCGTAGACTGCTAAACTACAGTACAGTACGGAGTACCTGCCCGGAATACTAATTATGCCCAGCCCATCGTATTCGTACCAATCCCCCATTCATTCATCCATCCATTGTCGGACCTCGACCTTGAATGGCTTTCTCATGCTCGGGTTGTACTACCTTTGGTTGTGTGTATCACTCCACTGGCAAGTTGCAAACCTCATAGGTTGGAACAGTTTCAACAACAAAGCAAGTGACACGCGTTGGTGGGCCATTGAAGTGGAGATCCGAACGCCCGTCAAAAAAAACTTGGACTGGCCGCGATTCGCTTTGCCACCAGCTCGAACAGTCGAGTCAAAACGAAGTTCTATTTACAGAAACACCAAGGGTGGGTTTGGGGAGGAGAAGGGGGGGGGGACAAGTGCTTTCTCTGTTACGACATTTGGAACAGTGATGAAGAATGTCTTGGATTTGATTTCGTAGGGTGTGTCAGTCATACTCGAAAAGCGCATTGATCATCAGCCAATCCCTGCCCATCGCGTCGGCAGGATGATACTGAGTATATTGTAGCATATCATATCGGAATATGTATCTCTTGTGGGGAGAGTTATAGTTGCTAAAAAGGTATCGGATGAGAACGGCCCTGGCGCGAAGCGATACTCGTAGCTGGGATGAAATGTATGGATTCAAATACACAATGGAGAGAGCCTGCGTATTCCAGACTTTTCAGTGGGTGGGTGCCCTTACGGGTAGATACGGGGTGGGAACTTGGAAAGGAAATGCTATCCACCATCATGGATGGTTACTTGGACTATTGCTCAACATGCCATTTGCAGATCATACTATGTAAATTATGATGCAAGATGTTATCGATGCATCTGGAAACTTCAATTGAAAACAAACAGCTGATATTCTCCAAAGCCAAAGCCGGGGATTTTCATATGCGAATGCTACTCTGTGCAATTCTAATCTGTATTTGTACAATTATCCTTACCCGTTGCGGAGCTCTTCGACTTACGAAACCACCCTTTTTTTTTATGTTAGAAGTCCAATCTTTGCTGTTCAATTGATCTATGTTGAACAGGGAGGCTCCTCTCTCCTCTGGATTACTGCCGTCGCAACTATGGCTTGTGATAGACAATTGGCGTACTGTAATCAACCACGCAATCACCTCTTAGTTGATTCCGAGGCAGGCCCCATAAAGGGAAGATATATAGAGTCGATACACTCATCCAGCCCAACAAAGACGTCTATCAACCACTTTTCTGCCCCGAGTACATGTAACTATAGTATAGTACAAGGATCATGGCCACCTAGGCCGTAGAAAGAGCAGCCACAATAGCCCAAACGACGGCAAAGTTCGAAAGATGAACATCAAAAAAACGACGTCACCCATCAAAACCGAAGGCCCATCATGCCGTGACACCATATAAGTTAACACCCATTTCCCAGAGACTAATCGATTACTCATATTCAGCAGCATCATAACCATCACGATCATCGAATAATAAGCCAACCCCATGCCAAGCATGCAGTTCACCCAGTGGCTGCACCTCCTGCATGGAGACGAAACCAGTCTCGGCGGCAAACAATGCTGCATCAAAGTCATTCCACGGCCGGATCAGCTCCTCCCCAACGTCGGCGCTACGACTGATCCCATCAACAGCAACCTCCAAGCCAGCGCAGGGCTGAAGCTGGCGCACCGTCCCTATTCCCGACGCCCCGTAGTTCGTCCCCTCCTTCTCCTGCTGCAACAGCGACACCTCCGTCTTCGCCGTCGCCGTTGTCGCTGCTGCCACCCACCCAGCCTTCATTTTCTCCATCATCCCAGCAACATACCTCCCCGGCGTAACGCCCATGACCTTCCTGAACACGCGATGAAAGTGACTGGACGTGAGCCCAGCCTCGGTCGCAAGGATGTGGAGCGTGGGCTTCGACCCCGACTGGACTGCCGACCCGATCGTCTGACATGCTCGGTGCACCAGCTGAACCTGAGGACTACTACAACCGCTGCTGCTGCTCCTGCCGCCGCCGTCAGTCTGCAGGGTCTCGGGTCTGCAGCGCTTGCACGCCCGGAACCCTGCCCTTTCTGCCTGGGAGGGCCGATCGTAGAAGCGGACGTTGGCCCGTCGCGCGAGCCGGGCAGGACAGGAGGCGCGGCAGTATATCTTGGTCGTTAGGACGGCGTAGACAAATGTGATGGCAGTGGGATCACGATTGACGACGGCCTGCCAGCGCGCGGAGGCGCAGGCCAGACCGGGTGGTGGAGGGATTGGGCGAGGAGGAAGCTTGAGGGGTGGTGGCTTTGGATCCATTGGGAGAGGGTGCTGATGCTTCGGGCATTGGTTGAGCGGATTGTTCAGGGAGATGATGTTGGTTGGAGGTGGTTTGGTTCAAAGTGTATATGTCTTTTGAGATGAATGGATGGGGGTGCAAGTACACTTCTGCTCAGGGTAAAAGTCTCAATGCTGTGATTGGTCACTTTGAACGCAACATATTGTCTACATGAACTTTTATTTAGGTACGATAACCGATGAAGTCTGGAATGCGCGGGAATAATTCCCATGTCAGTCAATAGGTTCCTTGGTAAATAATAGTGTTCATATGAATGTATCATGAGATTATGTTTGAAGGAGAAGTGTATGCTATCCGACAATTTGCGGCCGCAGCACACATGCAGTGTATGTAGAACAACGTTGACGAGCGCGATTGCAACTAACACCATAATCACAAGTCCCGAGACATAGTTCTCGCTACGAACTCATGCCGTTGGACACATTCTGCCCTTAGTATGACACTGACAGGGAGAGCAGCTCCGTCTGTCAGAATCGTCGACTGCATCGCCTACACTACAGCGCACTAGCAAGCCCCGCAACAGAGATACGTGTTCAAGCACAGGCACAGGAGTTGAATTTTTAACCCGTTTTTTCTTTTGCTTTGGTCATCATGAAAATATTTGTTGGCCACAACCTAACTTGGCTAAGGACGCATGGGAGATTATCCGCAGTCGCCTAAGTACATATGCCTCATAGCAAAAGAGCATTTTCAACCCGTCACAAAAAGAACTCCACACCATAACCCGCTTAGTCCTTGGTCTTCTGGGTACCGCGGAGCAGACCAGTTCTCCGGGCAGCAATGAGACCGGCTTTTTGACCGTGGGCGGCGTAGCGGGAGATGGTAGAAGCCTTACCGATGTGCTGGTGGTTACCACCACCGTGAGGCTGTAGAGAAAACACATGTCAGCAACCATTCCATCTCGTTCAAGCACGACTGCGCGACGCAGCCCAGAAAAGGGGAGTCTTACGTGATCGACGGGGTTCATGGCAACACCACGAGTCTTGGGCCAAGAGTTGCGCTTGACAGCGAACTTGTGCTTGGCACGAGAAGCCTCTGTAGGTAGATGTTAGCGGCCAATTCGCACCCGAAAGAATTTCCTTCTCCAGTCTCCTATGTCGTCGGAGCCAGAATCTTTTCAAGGAGGAGAAAACGTACTGAGCAAAGGCTTGTCGGTACGACCACCACCAGCGACGATACCAACCATACCACGGGCGGTGTTCTTGATGACCTTCTTGGCACCGGAGGGGAGCTTAACACGGGTCTTGCCCTCCTCAGGGTTGTGTCCAATGACGGTAACGTAGTTACCGGAGGTACGACCAAGAGCACCACGGTCGCCAGCCTTCTCCTCAACGTTGGTGATAACGGTACCCTCAGGAACGGAGGCGAGGGGGAGGATGTTGCCGACAGTCAGAGTGGCGTTCTTTCCGGCGTAGATGAATTGACCGGTGTACATGCCCTCGTTGGCAATGAAAGTCTCGGTAACGTGCTTGAACTTGTAGGGGTGACGGAACTGGACCTTGGCGAGAGGAGCACCACGGCCGGGGTCGTGGATGATCTCCTTCACCACACCACGAGTGTATCCATGACGCTCAGCGTAGTCGAGGACACGGAACTGGGCAGGGGCCTTGTTGAGACGGGTGTTGGCCGCTACAGTCGAGATTTTTGCGTCAGCATTTCGGGATTCTGGCACAGAGGAGATTTCGAATTTTGAGAATATTGCGGTCGCACTCACTGAAAATGCTTCCACGACCCTTCCTCTGGTTGCGGATCACACGACCCATGGCGACTTTCTAGATAGGGACCTGGTGTTAGTATTCAAGAGGAGTCCGCCGGCGACCTGGTGGTGGGAGAGTTCGAGTTCTCGTACCTCAAATCTAAGATGACCTTGTCGGGTTGGTGTTGAGAATTCGTCGGCGAAGGGCTGTGTGGGCTTTAGGGTGGAAGTCGCTAATCTAACCGCGTCGGGGCTAGCGTGTATGAGTGAGCAGTGGCTGCAACTTGGGTGTGGCGCGGGTCGCTTTCTGACTAAGCCCGGTAGGGCAATTGCACGGTTTGTTGAAACCTACTGTGGCACTGCCACTACGGAGGCTGAAGAGGACCAATTCGGCAAGCGGACTTGGGCCGATTACCGTCTCTGTCCCTCTCTCCCTGTCCCGTCCCTCAGTCCAGTAACTACTGAGTACTAAGTTAAGCATGTCGGACTTTAGACATGTACTGCCCTGCCCTGCCCGTACCACCACTGTGCTTACCTTTACCCCTCCTGCCATACCATAAAAAAAACCTCTTCTTTCCATACTGCGAGTCGCTTATCGACTATTTACCCTACATGTTAGTACACTACTGCACATACATCATCCATGATGATATTATCGACAAACTCCACTTTGAGGGATGCGTCATTCACGGCTCATCGAGCACTATCAACTCAATCCGGGTACAATTGACAGATACCAGTGTCTGAGTCGCGCTGATTCGTGTATATCCTGTTTGTCCTCATGAACTGACCGCGTTTGGTAGTACAATTTTGTCCCGAAGCCTTCCAGCTTCTGGGTATACGGGATGGGCCGATGAACACCCACATCCGGTCGCAACAAATAGCCGAGAACTTCCTTGTTGATGCAACTCAGATAGGCCGAGTTGTGCATTCATGATTAGCACGCTTTTGGTCTGTACCTCGGTGTTCGCAACGCCCCGTGCGTCTATATCCATGCTGTCCATTACGGATCGAAAGCCGCCTGGCAACATGGTGTACCGCGAGCGGGGCAAGTCCGTTTAGGCTCGCCTGACGCGTTCATGCGAGCCTATATCCATTCATGAAAGTGCATCCTGCCAGGTACATCGCACTGTCCAGGCAGACATTCATGCCTATTAGGTGACCGAACATGAGGGTATACCTCTGGTTGGTCCACAGACATCTCCCAGAGCACAGTGCTGGTCGACCCCGATCTTCTCCTGGCAATTCCGTCACCCCTGTGACTATGGTCATCTTGGAGAAATCCCAATGTACAATGACCTCTGATTTTGCCATCCTGTTGACCCAGGCATACAGTACAAGTAGACGGCGCTCTAGGTTCGATGATTCCACTTCTTTAATTTGATCTCTCTCCATGTTTCAACATATCCTCCGTATAATGCGCGTGCTGCCTGGAACCTATTGAAGGGATCATACAGTTCTATGTGCCATTGATGCAAAGCAAACCCAGACTATCGCCGGAGGGTTGGTGTTGATTGGGTGCTGATCATCCCTGGATAAGGGCTGTTTTCTTGTTCTTGATGATGCCAGAAACGCCAGGCGCGTAAAAGCCGCGCTTCAACCGTAGTGCAAAGTAGAACTTCTCTGCGCCGCGGACCTGCCCGCTCGACCTTGTATCAAACATCTCCCCTCCTCACAAGCATCGGAC